CTTATATACCCCCCTTTAAAGGCGACTGGGAGTTAAGGGACCCAATCGCCAACTCCTAGTGGTGACGAATTATTGTCCACAACAGTTTTCAGTTCCGGCACAAAGCCTGTCTAAGTAAAGTCATCAGTTTTTTTTTTTTTTTTTTTTTTTTAAAGCAGCAGATGTGAAAAATAAACAATGCCCTCTCGAGGACTCGAAATTGGACCCCTCGAATAGTGATTCATTGCACCTCGAAGGCATGCATTTAAGTGATGACACCCTCGAATGTGCTCCATTGCACCTCGAAGGCATGCTATACACAGCGAAGATGAAATCCGTCCTAGTTCTTTGCCGTACGGAATTGAACATCATTTCTGCGGAAATCAGTTACATTAACATACAAGGCCTATTGTTCAGTACATTTTTTTTTTTTTTTTTTTTTTTTTTGTTGTTGTTGTTGTTGTTGTTACAAGATATTTTGAATAGCACAGTATTTCATATGAACACTCTTATAACATAAATCAATACTATATATAAGTGAAATTATATTGTATGTATACACATATATGCATTTGGCAGTGCATTAAATGAATATTGCATTTGGTGTCTAAATAGGTTAAATGTGATACATTTAAGTGATGACAATCAATGTGGAAGAAATATTTTTGCACTACAGAAATATATAGACATTATGCAACATTGTTATTGGTATTTCATGTGTTAGGCTGGCATATTTACCATATTGGAATGAACACTTATATTACGAAAGTTAGATAACTGTATGAACAATGTATTACACCGGATGAGTAAAAATATTTGTATATGTCAAGAAGTTGATTCGATGGAACAAAGATTTTTATAACAAAAGAGTTAAATAACTACATACAGTAAGACCCCGCTTAACGCGGGGGATACGTTCCATCAAAGTAGAGCGCAATGCGAAACAGCGCTAAGCGAGGCTATCTTTACATGTAAATATTGGGGTTAGGGGAAGATGGTTAGGAAATTGGTTAGGTATTAAATTTAAAAAGTATGTTTTTTTAATAAAAATAAAACCAAACATTTATTTCTTAAAGACCAAATTAATACCACATTATTATTTCTTGCAAAATAAAAACAAAATATAAATAACAAAACGAATATTCTTAAAAAAAAAACAAATAAAATTCTCAGTCAGTCATATTTAGTTAGCCTTCCGCGTTTTTCGGTGTTCTGCCTTTTTGTGACAAAAGCATCTAATGTTGTTTGCCTTTTCTTTTGCGTTGTTCTCTTAAAAGTTCTTCATAAACGGATAGAGCATCTCTAGCACCACGCCTTACTTTTGAGCTCCTGTCAAAATTCGGATCATTTTCAATGAATTGATCCATTATTTCAGTTATGGTAGACAAACTCCTTTTTACAAACGCCATCGAAAGTTCTTTTTGCTCTTCTTCTGAATCACTGCTGTCAACATTTTTGTTTTCTTCTTGTTCAGTTAATTCCTTGAGCTCATCATTAGAAAGACTAGCCGCTGCTTCTTGAATTATTTCTTCGACATCTTCCACATTTACCCCTTCAAAATATGTCTGTACAATACCGCACCAAACAAGAAATACAAGTACACTCTTTCGGATATGTATTTGAAACCTATCGCTGCATAATATTTCGGGGAATCCCCGTATACTGCGAGCGCTTTCGTGGAATCCCCGGGTTGAAATAAAAGAGCGCTAAACCGAAACAGCGCTAAACGAAACAGCGTTAAGCGGGGTCTTACTGTATATGTAAAATAGGTAAATAATTATATATATATATATATATATATATATCAAAGAATTAAATACTTATATTACAGGAGCTGAAACAGTAATTTAGTTATTTGGGGAATGACTGTGATGACAGCTATTCCAGGTTACTGCGTTTTTACAGTGCAGTAGGCAGTGATAGCATGTAGTTTCGATAGAGCAACTTTGTTATTTTGAATATTATTCCACCACGCTGCGCGAAAGATGGAACTTCGCCGTCTAGCGGCATTCAAAGTAATAGTGGTCTCGACTGCCCAATTTCCCACAGTCACAGATGTCTGTGTTGGACAGACCAAACTTATGCAGACAGGCTTTGTACGGTCCATGTCCTGTTAGGAAATGTGACATGCTGCCAGTTTCGCCCTGCAGATCCATGCTTACACTTGGGAGCATTGCATGTGTACGTCGAAGGCATGCTCGAAGGGGTGATAAAATACTTTGTAATGTGACATTTATTTGGTCGTATTTACACGTTAATTACAGTGCTACTAACTCACATCATGAGCTCTCAGTTAGACATTTTCTTTTAAAGGATTCATGTTGTTGATAGTGCAGTTCCGTCTGTTGGTATCTGCGTGAACTAAAATTTATCTTTTATCCAAACAAGTCCACTTTTGTTCAAAGTCTTTAATGTAAACCGCATTCTAATAAGTCATTCTCCGGATTTTGCACAATTTTTAAAAGTTTCCACCTTCATGAATCTCCCTGTATAAATTAATTGTATATATTAACTACAGACACAAAACTATTAGAACAAAGGAACGGTAGCTCAGAATATCTACTAGTCTCAAAACGGCCATTTTGTGGCATTTCACTGTAAACGGCGAATCATTTTTTAAATTGTTATCACTGAATAGTATCACCCTGTATTATATTTAAAGAAATTAAATAACGAAGACTCTGCATGAATTAAAGGATGACGGTACCTAGAGCCTTCAAATTTTGAGCAACGTAATTTTCCATCCGAACATGGGCACCTGGAAGTTGGAATTTTGAATTTGTTTTACTATCTATTTCATATTTTGTAAAACTTTAAGAAATTTTTAATTAACAAACTCAACACTTTCAAAGCGAGCAGTGGCAATACACTGTACGGAATAAAATATTTTTATCTCCAGGGCGCGAGACTGTGTATCGAGAATTCTAAGGATAAGCTCTTTTTAAATAATTTGCAATATTGCTGTTGAATTGAATTTTATGTGATTTAAGTGCGAAGATTGTGATATTTAATAAATAAAGGTAGAACACAAAACCTTGGAAAAACGTGCCTTTAAATGTAATATAAAATCAGAAAACTTCCAGATTTTACCCTCCCCTTTTTTTCACTGTTTGAATCATAGTTCTTAAGCCTGGTAAAGTTCAAATCTTTTGGTTTAAACTAAAGTCTTACCGCTAATTCTTGTTCACGAAATTACAGATTCTGAATAATCTTATGCGATTTGTTCCTCGTTGATAAAAGAAAATGTCTTATTGTGGAACAATATTCAATCTTGATCTGCAGATACTAATATATTCTAACTTTTGCTTATACTTTGCTATAACTTTTGCAGAAGTAGATTGCCTACTTATTTATACCTCTGCCACGACAACTCCTTAAATTTCTTGGAAAAAAAAGCATTCCTTCTTTTTTTAATAAAAAATTAAATAATTTTTTTTAAAAATAGCTTAAAAATCTAATATTTGAAGAGGAATAACAAAGCAATATGTTGTTGTCCTTACGCCTGTAAAACTGGTTTCTTAGCAGATGAGCCAGTAGAGCAGGAAAGTACGTTTTACATATAGCAAAGTAAAATTAAGACATGTTTATCTGTTTATCCCTTAAAGAAATAGTAACCTATAAAACTAAAAAATTATTCAACGTTCAAAAACGAAATATCTTTCATTAAAATAGTTATTTTATAATATTAAGCAACTATTTTATAATGTTTTATTTAACTCGCTCATAGTGTCATGTAACCACGTTTGGAATTCTCTAGGAAAAGCCGTTACAAGATGTCAGCATCCTTCTAGGATTATTTAGACATTAAAATATTGTTTTTAAAAAATCAAGATATATTTCCAAATTATTAACAACCTCATTGAGTAATGGAAGGCATGTAAAGCTGTGTGAAGTGGCTGCACACCTTCAATATTGCTGTTGAATTGAACAATAACGGGATTATTCTGGAAATATGACGTGCCATGTGTTATTTTTTGCTGCATTTCATTTAAATTTATTTCCTCGAATTTCATTAGAGATATATTTCTCATTCAATTAATTGAATTCTCACTTCGACAAAAATAAAAGTCTGAGAATTCTAGTTTATTTGTTAAATGAACATATGCATGAAAGCTCTTTTCAGCATTAAATTAAAAAAATTCTAAATTGTATTTTGAAACACTCCTCCATAATGCATTATCCACAAAGAGTATATGAGCAAAAGTTGACCTCGATAGCTCATCGGGAAATAGTTTAAAAGTCGATGGCAAATTTTAACTACATCGACAAAGTAACTTAGATAGTTTACTGATAAAATTTAGCGAGTACTTAGTTTCGAGAGAGATTTGCAATTCAAACCACATTTGGATTAACGATGCTGTTTGATTCTTCCAATGAGAAATAAACTCGCTAAGAATTTTTAAATTACATAACTTTTGCGCTTTTTAACTTGCAACTTGTCTAAAATTTAATCATGACAGCGAGAGATACGATAAATCTATATTTCAACTCATTAATGGGACCTGTTCGAACAATAAAGAGTTAAAATGTTGTTATAGCTGATGTCAGAATCTTTGTAATATTTTAAATATCTTCTAAAAATAATTAACGGATTTGTCCACTTCGCAAATCTTCAATATTCTATTGTTAAACTGTGTTCCTTGAAGGACCACTGATTAAATCTCCCATCATAAAGGTGCCAAATCTTTTATACTGTTCGCAAGATAGAAATCTTCACAGCGGTGCCCCAGAATAAAGTGTACCGGCACTTTTATCAAAATCGATTTTTAATTGAATAACAGGAAACTTAATAAAAAGGCTGGCAACTCTAGACAAGGAGGATTTACTTTTTCATTAATAATCATAATGAAACTTTATTAATAAGTATTTTATTTCTAGTTTCAATTACGTTTTCTATAGTTACTATAGTAGTTGATTTGTCTTGCATGGAGGCAAATTTAATAATTTTGAATTATTTTTTGTATTTTGAAATAAAATTTTTTTGAAGACATCTTAGTCACCCTTTATTCTTGTCCTTTCAGGTTGAAAATATCTCTTCTTGTCTATCCTATATTGGGGAGCTTGGAGTCTCCATTGAAGGTGTCACTTCCAAAGGTAAGTTAAAACATATACTTCATTTTTTTATTCATAATTCAATAATATTTCCCTCTTTTGACACATTTCTTTTTCTCTTTTGACACATTCCTTTTTTGACACATTTCTTAAACACATTTCTGACGCATTCCCTCTTTTGACACATTTAAGCTAAAGTTATATTTCATGCATACTGATGTCCTTTCGTGATCATCTAAATTTATTTAAAACGTTATAGAGTCATTAGAGTTTTTACTGGGGACGTCAAAAATGTGTACGCCGTCGCCGAGATTCGAACCCCGGACCTCCCGAATACGTGTCAGATGTGCTTGCAGTTACACCACGAAGGCATGCAGAAAAGGAGAAAATACCTTACGTACTCACTGTTTCAAAGGGCGACTAGGGCATGAGGTGACCCAAAAGCCTAATCCCGGTAGTGACGAATTTTTATCCACCACCTTTTAGTTCGGGCGCCACTATTGAGACGATAGTATTTTTGATGCTGAAGTCGTGAAAATGTACATCGACCTCGCCGTGATTCGAACTCCGGACCTCTCCAACACGCGTCGTGTGTGCTTCCAGTTATACAACGAAGGCATAGAGAAAAGAGGAAGAAAATTCTTTATAACGTTAAACTTATAACATTTCTTTATCAAAAAAAAGCGATTATTTGTGTCTGATAATATTGCACACTGAGCAAGCAAAAAAAAAAAAAATGCGACAGTTCTGTAATTCCCGTTCTAATGGGCCGATTGACGAAATTCGAATTACATTTTTATGTCTCGAAAGCGCGACTTAAGATATGCATTAGCATTGTTCTAATGTAGCTATTTTGATGCAAAATCGGACTTTTTCTGGAATAACATGCCAATTCTTTTCCATATTTCGCTTTTACGATTCAAATTATGCCACTCTGCCAAGTTTTGTAAAAATCGCGCTAGTAGTTGTAAAAAAATTGCTGTCAAAATTTTAGCTCTTCAATATTAATTTGATATATGTTTATTAATCTATTTTTGTTTATTAAACTTATTTTATTCTTCCTTTTTTATTTCTCAATTTAGGTTCGTTGAAAATTAAATTATTCGCCATCTTTTATGATTTATGTTAAAAATTTATATTTTTTAATAATTTTTATAAATTTTTCGAAAATAATTTGAATTATAAGCTATCAAATTTTTACCATCTTTTATTCTTAAAGTCGATGTATTTCTAAGCATACCTGCAAAAATTAGAGTTTTTCAATTCAAAATTTCCGAAGATATATCGTGAATTTATACATTGGCGCCTTTTGAAATTTGGCATATTTGTTGAAATTTGTTAACATCAAATTGTGGCTTAGGCACGTTGCTAAAATTACTTGAAAGTAGAATGACGTGACTTTTTCCCAGGTCATGCAGAATGTAAAAAATGAAAGGAAAATAGGTAGCCATATATCAAGAAGTTCGCCAAGTAAATTCTTGGCGCAAAGTTTAAAAAAAAATGTGCCAAGATAAGTTTTTGAATTTCTGCATAAATTTCGCACCAAATTTTACAAAATTTAATATTAGGCATAAATAGAGTCGTAGAATCGAAATATGGAAAATAATTGGCATGACATTTCAGAAAAAGTGTCAAAATGCCTATATTAGAGCAACGCTTTACATAAATCTAATATATATCCTATGTCGTGCTTTGAAGACATGAAAAACGCAATTTGAATTAGAACGGGATTTATAGAACTGTCCTTTATTATTATTATTAATATTTTATTTTTATTATTATTTTTTCCCTCCGCAGTGTACACTCTGCACATACCAAATGGGAGAGTTCTGTATGTTTTATTCTACTGGGCCGATTGACGAAATTTAATTTGTCGTTATCCTGTCTCGAAATAGATTTTTATATAACATTCTTCTAATAGGTATTTTGACAAGAAATCAGACTTTTTCTGAATGGTATACCGATTTTTCCCTCGTATTTCGATTTCATAACTCAAATTTTGCCTAAATATTCATTTTTTTTTTTTTTTTTTAATCTCGCGAGAATTTTCCTTGAAATTTAAAAATTTATCTTAGCGCACTTTTTTTCATTTTGGACCGAAAATAATTCACTTAGCGAAATTCTTAAATTTATTCTAATGTATTATTGTTTAAGAGCCCTTTCCCTTTGATTGTGCAAAAGCGGAAGAAAAGGTGCATCGTTCATTCTTTCAAATAGTTTTAACATTTATCATTTCAAATAATTAACATTAAAGTGCGTAAACCGCATTTGGTGTTATTATCTCTTCTAACAATATATCTTTGGAAATTTTGAACAATACATAGCTTCAATGTGATAGTAAGAATTTTAGAAGCTTTTATTAAAAAATCTTTTTCAAAAATTTTAAAAAATACAAATTTTAACAAGTTCTTCATAAGCGATATCCCAAAACACTGGAAGATTGTGAATAAAGAGTAGAATAAAACCAACCTTGATGTATTACGAAAAGGAATTTTATCTTGGAAATCAAGATTTAATATTATGGTTCAACAAAGGGTTGTTTGCATGTAAGTCTTTGCAAAATCGTTACAAAAATGTGTGAACACGCTCTCTAATATTTGATTATTATACTAGTTTAGCATAGAACATCTTGCATTCTTATTGGTGAGTTCTCTTAACTAATCAAGATGCTTATTATAATCTTAAGAACTTACAAATTTAAGATGACTTCTCAACGGCCCCAGACCACAGTACGGAGCTATTCAGTTAACGACATTCTTCAGTTATAAGGTATTTCTCCCGCCTTCTTAGCATGCCTACGTAGTGTAGTGGTCAGCACACTCGACGCGTATTCGAGAAGTTCGTCGTTCGAGTCCCGGGGAGGGCATTGTTCATTTCTTCAGTTTCTGACATCGAAAATATACCTAATGTCTCTACAGTGGCGCCCGAACTAAAAAGGTGGTGAATGATGATTCTTCACCACTTTCTTTCTTTTCGCCATCGACGGAGCAGCTGGCCCACTGGGTTAGGTGCTTTTCAGCCTGTTCGATCCCGTCGATGGAATTAAAAATAAATATATGAATAAATATAAATAAGGAGCTTAGTACTGTGTCCTCCGGGGATTGGCCCGGAAACGAAGAACACTGAAATAAGGACTAGAACATGGAAAGAGGGTGCATGGTGGGGACTGCTAAAACTAAGCGGAACACTTTTCACTATTATGGTACTTGTTAGGCATACAGTTATGTTAAGAATGTGCTATAATAATCAGGTACAGATGTAAAGATGATCAAATACATTACAAATTGTGGAATACATTAACTGAGTTCTGGATTAATCATAATATTAAATATAATTAAAAACAGCAAAAACAAAGTAAAAACAACAAAACAAAAAACACAAAACATTAAGTAAATTAATATATATACGGAGCGGGCTGCTGACGTCACGGTGTCCAAGGAATGAAGTCATTTCAGGCTGTCCGCAATGCTTTTAGCAGTGGTAGTGCAGTCTCTAATGCAGCTGAGCGCATATTTATTCTTAATTGTGTTCTTGAACCATGCCGGCATATTGATTGCAACTGGTCTTTTTAAATGTGAATTCCCTGTGTGCGAGCAGTCAAACAGATAGTGATCTGGGTCACCAGTACTACCACAAATACATTGGTCACTGTCTCTTTAGCGAAATCTGTGAAGATAGGACATATATGGGCCATGCCCTGTCGGATACTGTGTGAGGTACGAAGAGCTTCTATTTAAATTCTGGTTAGCGTTTGGTTGGAAATCATATAATCTTCTGCCTGTACTGCTTGTCTCCCAGTAGTTTTGCCACTGCTTCATTAGTTTACATTTGAGAGTAGTTTTCAGGTATGAGTGTGGAAGGAGCACACCAATGCTACTCACGTGAGGTTCATTGGCTGCGCCTTTCGCAATCATATCCGCTGCTTCATTTTCTTTAGTTGCCGTATGGGCTGGAACCCATTGTAGATGGGGGCCTCAGACTTGCAGGAATCGAAATTAATGATTCTTCACCAGTATGATTTGACGATTGGGCCCCCTAAAACCTCAGTCGCCCTTTAAAAGGTGGAGTGTATAAGGTCTTTCTCCCGCCTTCTTCTTAGCATGCCTCCGTAGTGTAGTGGTCAGCACGGTCGACGCGTATTCGAGAGGCCAGTGGTTCGAGTCCCGGCGAGGGCATTGCTCATTTTTCATCCCTCCTGCTTTCGAAAAATACCTAATGTCTCTACATAGTGACATCGGTAGCAATAATGATTTCAGCTAAGCATTCCTAAAACACCCATTCATGTTCCATATGATTTTGATCTTCTGTGGGGGTTGTGTCTTAGAGAGGCGATTCCGAATTAATGTCCACAAAAATACTGCTCCCTTTCAGAGGTGGTTACCTCGAGAAGCTTTCATTGTATTTAGAAGGACAGCAAGAGCCCGCTTTACGCGAGGAATACATTCCAGTCAATTTTAGCAGTAAACTAAACAGAGTTAAACGATAATACGTAAATAAGGGGAATAAGAGATATAGAACAAATAAAAATAAAGAACGAATGTAACCAACGGCATTCAGACGACTGCAGCCAAGAGTAATTAAATAATAATCTTTTGCTAGCTATATGAATTCAATAAATAAAAAGAATCTGACAGGTTTCAGGTTTTACAGGTGGCACAAAAGGGTTTGTTAAAGTTTTTTACTCTCTCTCTCTCTGAACTCGCAATCTACTAGTCTACAGTTACACTCACTCAACAGCATTCAATTCAACAGCAATATCACAAAGTAATTTTTAAATGAACATATCTTTAGAATTTTTAATACACGGTCTCGCACGCTGAAAATCTTTTTTTTTTTTTTTTTTTTTTTTTTTTTTTTTTTTTTTTTCGTACAGTTTTGCCATTGCATTTGAAATCGTTGAGCTTGTTAATCAGAAATTCGTTGAAGTGTTACAAAATATGAAATCGATAATAAAATAAATTTCAAATTCCAAATCAAGGCTTCTAGATGCCCACATTCGGTGGAAGATTACGTTATTCAATATTTGATAGCTCTAGATACCGCCGTTTTATCGCAATGCGAGAAACATACATTTTTTTTAACTTTATTATTAAGGATACGAAAATTTTCAAAAGAAAAAAAAAATTGAAAGCTTTCAGATTTTATGTTACTCCCAAAGTATCTTTTTTTTTTTTTTACTTTTTGTGTGTACCTTTATTTATTAAATATCAGGTTCTTCGCACTTAAACCATAAAATTCAATTTCAACAGCAATATCACAAAATATTTTTTATTTATTAATATTTATTTTAATTTATCGCAAATATTTAAAATTTATTTCATATCTTAGAATTTCCGATACACAGTCTCGCGTGCTAGAAATATATATATATTTTTTTCCTTACAATATTGCCATTGTTCGCTTTGAAATCTTTGATTTGTTAATCAAAAATTCTTTAATGTTCATTTATTTATTTATTTGTGCAGTGTGTATAAAAATACGTTTCTCATCCTTAAATATTTTTGTTCATGCATTTTAACACTTCAAAGGTACTTGTGTATGTTAGCTTTTATGTGTTCAGCTGAAATCTAAAATCTAGACTGAAGTTCGCTCACAGTATTGTTTTTATTTTATTTATTTATTACTGTATTATTTTAACATTCATGATTACTATTTAATTACACATTTTATACTTCTCGGGAATTGAAATATTCCTTTCTTTTCAGATGTGAGAGAAGGCAATCTCAAAGTAATCCTGAGCTTATTCTTTAACTTATCAAGATATAAACAAGCTCAGAAAAATTCATCCAGCGTTGCGTCCAAAAACACAGCAAATAGTTTGTCGTCTTCTGCCTGCTCCAATACACCTAATACAAATGTCACTGCCGTAGTAAAGTCAGGCATGGTGGCGCCATCTGTCGGCAGCGAGATGCTTTCCAAGTAAGTATTTTGAAATGTTTGGTATGAAATTTATACGAAATTCATGAAAAAAAATTAATAAATAAAATTAATTATAATATTTTAATTTCCAATATTTATACTATTTTAATTATTAGCAATAAAATAAAAAAATTCTTTTCATTTTTATTGCAAATCTAATTATTTACTTAAAACTATATGATATCATACTTATCAGCATATGAATATCTTTCTGTTTCATAATGAAAATAAACTGCTAGTATGAAATATTTAATATTAAAAATATTATAAATAATTACTCTTGTTATACGCGTGAAATCGTATGTTGCTAAAAAGTTTAAAACCAAGTAATTCTAATTCATAATAATTTCTTTCTGACAGTCTGCTGTCAACCTTTTCAAATACACTTATAAAATACGATTTTATATATACATAAAAATAAAAAAAAAACTGTAAAAATATATATAATAACAAATCAGATTTTACATTACGCCCTAAGGGACACTTTTTTTTTAACCTTTTGTGTGTTAGCTTTATTTATTAAATGTTCTTTGCGCATAAGACATAAAATTCAATTCAACAGCAATATCACAAAGTAATTTTTAAATGAACATATCTTTAGAATTTTTAATACACGGTCTCGCACGCTGAAAATCTTTTTTTTTTTTTTTTTTTTTCGTACAGTTTTGCCATTGCATTTGAAATCGTTGAGCTTGTTAATCAGAAATTCGTTGAAGTGTTACAAAATATGAAATCGATAATAAAATAAATTTCAAATTCCAAATCAAGGCTTCTAGATGCCCACATTCGGTGGAAGATTACGTTATTCAATATTTGATAGCTCTAGATACCGCCGTTTTATCGCAATGCGAGAAACATACATAGATTTATGCAGATTCTTCATTATTTAATTTCTTTAAATATAGCACAGGGCGATAATATTTGGTGGCAACAATTTGAAAAGTGAACCAACATTTAAAGTTTTCAAACCAAAATGCCTAAACGAAATTCATAGCCCTTCGGGGCTAAAGCCCTTTGGGCTAATAACTAAAATTTCAGCATCATAATTATTTAAAAAATGTTCTTGCATTTCTGTGTTCTTTTTGTATTAATATTTTTTCGCTTTTTCTTGTTTTAATTAGAATATTTTAAATTGAAATCTGATTTAATTTCGAGTAACTGGTATGTTTTAAATAGTAAATAACGTGTAAAAATATTGCTAATAAAAACATAAGATAATAATAATACATTTCATTTTCAGGAATAATCTATAAGCATTCATGATAAGCCGAAGTTTTTCAATATAATATGCTTTTGATTTATTTTTAAAGCTAACGCAATCAGTTAACTATTTTACTTTTCAATTGCTTTGCTTGATTTATAAATAAAAAATGGAATGAAAGCATATTTAATTTTAAGGGGAACATCGTATTATACATTGCTAATTTATAAATATATATGTTACTTAAAGGAATTAGAACGGAGAATATTCTGTTTAGTAATTTATACATTCAAATTGCTTAATTGGTCATTATTATCTATTTTTTACATATATTCAATAGGTAACGATTTTATAGGAATCTTGGAATAGTTAAAAGTTAATTTCATTTAGAGAAAGCCATTTTCTCGTTTTCCTCTCTCACAAGTAAATAAATGCATAAATGATCTGCTTGTTCTTTCCAGAAATTCATTAAAACTATATTTAAATACAATAAAAACAACTTCGTTTTATATTCTACATAGGCTTCCATCACCGTTTCGTCAATCAACTGCGCGTAGCATTCCGTGTCCTGGCGCGAAAGATGCTGGAAGTGCAATTCCATCCTCATCCAATCCGTCCGCTGCTGGCTCAAGGAAAAACAAGACTGTGGCGCCATCGTTTGGACAGCAAGGTAAGTTATACAAAATATTTTAACATTTTATGTTTTAGAATATTTGGGAAGTATAAAATTTATTTGAAGGAGCTTAGTTACAAATTTTATTACTATTTTAATAACGTAATTCAATTTTTAAAAATTTCAAAATATTATTAATTAGACAAAAGGGAGGAACTTTATTTTAACTTCCTCAACTCCTGATGAATAAAAACTGTAAAACGTTTTGGCGTTATTTAAAATGAAAAAAATTCAGAATAGATGAAGGAAATAAACACTACCTTTAGATATTGAAATCTACTAATCCTTTTAATTATCGCGTCTAAAAACTGAATTTTGTTTGCCAGAATTTAAGTTATTTTCCATTTGTCAGAAATGCTGGTTGGTGATATAGCTGTTGCACGTATCTGAGAATTGTATTTGCACCTTTTTTTTTTTTTTTTTTAAAAATAATATGGAGAAATTCCCTCCGGTTGGAAAAATATCACATAAAATTTTACTTCGTACTTACTTGTTAATTACTGTATTATTTTTTTAATTTATCTTTTTATTTTTTTAATTTAATTTTAATCATATGTACTTGATATTTATCAGAAATTTTCAATGGGAAATGTATAACGTGTTTGTCAGTATCATACTTGAATGTCAGTACTTGAAATCATAAATAATACATCCATAATCTGAATTAATGTTGGTATAACTACGTTATTTTCGCTACTCAAATTATATATCTAAACTTATAATTCAAAGTTATACCATAATAACTTCTGTGCAAAGTACTAATGTAAAGAAAATGTGACGTTTTATAATAAATATTGTTAAATTTAAAACACGTATACTGAATGTTTATTATATGGAAAATTAATTTTATACGGAATTGTGACATAATATGAAAGTTAAAATCCACACGCAAAGAACTTACACCTAAAGATCTACTTACATATATCTAAATTTCATTCAATGAAAATGTGCTTATAAGTATGAAATGTTATTTAAATATGTAGCTTCTGAAAGATCTTAATCGTTGTATAAACAAATATAACAGAATATTGTTTAAGGAAAACTTTAAACTAGACTTTTATCTTTATCTCATAACACTGGATGGCGCAAAGAAAGCAATTTTTGTACGCATACATTTATTTATCACTAATAGCGAACTGGTATTTGACTCCCATGGGTATTTCCAACCTTTCAGAAAAATAAATGAACTACAAAACGACTACTCTTATATTAATTGCTTACTATATTGCTTGATTTTGTTGATTGTAAAATCGTATATAATTGGTATTAAAAGAAAGGTGAAAAGTCTGTGAAGAAACATAACTATGATGTATGGTAGAGAGAATGATGATTTTGGGGCACGAAAGAATTCATGAACTGCTTTAAAACTGTCGTTCATTTTTTCAAAGGTCTAATCACTAAATCAATTCTGAATCTAAAAATTATTTAAAATTGTAACATTTAAAATAGGAGAAAATAACTGAATAAATAAAATTTTCACTGTGAGTTTTGTAAATACTATGTAATTACAGCACAGCTCGATTATCAAAATTCCGATACACAAAACGCCCCTTTGTGCGTAATGTAAAATAAAAAAATTGAAAATTATGTAATTATGTAAAATAAATTTTTTTAAGTATTTTTACTTATTTTATTTAATTTTAAATACTCCTTATTTTTCATTTGGTTTCGTACTGGCCGCCATTTATAGGACTCTAGTATTTCTAATTTTAGAAATAAAGGCCGGGGTTATAAACTGTTGATCACAAATGCATCCTCCCTTTCAAGAAAGTGGAATAAAGAAGCTATTTTATTTTTAGTTTTAACTTGGTAGAATTAACAGTTTAACGAAAAACACAGTACCAAACTAAACTACATGGAACCAAACCAAACTTTCAATACGAGTATTTAAACAAGAGCTAGGTTTTCATAAGCAGATCTAGCTCCAGGATTTATGCCACCCGAGGCAGTGTGTAAAGTTAGCTCCCCGCATATATTCATTCGCATTAATATTCAAAGCAGAATATGCTTTTATTTAGTTACAGCTTCTGATAACTAAATAAAAGCATAGTTTACTTAGTTATCTCAAACTAATATTACTATACCTAACTGCTGCGCTCTGAAAATTAGCAGCTGCCTTTATTGTCGATGCTTGAAGCCGCCCCTTTACCTGAAACTGTCACAGATGTAAACTGTTTCTTTTTCAATAGAAACTGAATCAGCAGAGGATCTCGGAAGAAGACAGTAAAAGTAGGCATTTAAAAAAAAAAGCGTTAATTTTACCTTCTTATTCCTGCTTACACCTTCTTCTTCTATTTGAATATTTTACTGGTTCCAGTCTTCTGAAAGTTTGATATACAGCACTGGGTCGCGACTCCCAGAGGGGGGGAGGGTCGCGGGACCTGCAGCAGGGAGTTACCAAAAAATTTAGCAGTTTTAATATTTCTTTAACTTAATATAATAATTTTACAATTACCAAATATTTTTACACAATATATCCGAAAATAGATAGAGGTAAGACAATGCAGACAAATATAAAACGGAAACATTTCAACGCATTCTTTTTTATAATAGAAACGTTCGTTTTCCTTGCTTTGCACGTGAAGCTGCCATTTCGTCTGTTACTTATCTAAAATTTTCGCATGTTCTATGTCTTAAAATTAGAAATCAAAGTTAATGACCTAAAACTGCGTATAAATAGTATGTCACAGTACAAGCGAAAAAGTTGACAGTTTCAACGTTTCGGATTTGCGCAATATTTATGGGGTCCCACAAAATTTTCTTAAATATTATGGGGTCCCGGGGGTCGCGAAAAAATCTCAGTGATAAAAAGGGGTCGCGACTGAAAAAATTTAAGAAAACCTGATATAGAGCAAGGGAAAGGAAAGAAAATTAATAGCTTTTAAATAATAGCTGGTTGTCAAAAATTCCTTACGAGAATAAATAGTTTATTTGAAACAGACTTTGTAGGCTAAATGAACGTTAGCCCAGAAGGACTATTACTCTCAAAATGGCATTTTGTGTCGAATCACTTTAAATGCCAGAATCACATTTCAAATTGTTGCCACCAAATATTATCGCCCTATATTATATTTAAAGAAACTAAATAATGAAAAATCCACATGGGATCTATGTATATTTTCTCGCACTATGAAAAGCTAATTATACCGAGAGTCATCAAATTTTGAATAGCATAGTCCACCCGAACATGGGAACCTGGAAACACGAATTTGGAATTTGGAATTTAATCTGCATTTTAATTCAACGTTTACACGTCACAGTCAATATTATTTTATAAAAATTTTATTCCTGAGAATTTCTGTGTGCATGTTTAATGAATAGAATATCTGAGGTGTTTCTAGCTCAAATTCTGAATTTAAATGGAATTGAAGGGGAGAAGAAAAAACGAAAGGGGGTAGGAACTAGAACAGAAGTTTTACTTCTTATAATCTTAGAAGGATAAAAAAAGGGGGGAGGGGGCCTTTTCAAGAGAAAGGGAAGGAGGATTTGGCCATTATTATGGACCCTTTCATTCATGTTACACGACCAAAAAAAAAAACTTTCGGAAGTGTTGAAAAAAGACCGTGGGTGAAAAAACGTCTACGGCGAATTCTTTAAATCATCTCATTCAACAGCAGCTGCATTCTTAAATTAATTAAAGAGCTAACAAAAGTAATTATTTCCTCTGAATGCCGTTCTTTTTCGTGTATGCAGAAGCTGAAGCTCAGACCATGAGTACGATATTTTTCCAATAGATGGCGCTATCGTACGTATTTTCGCGTAACATTGTTGTTCACCGTTTAATAGATTGCTTATTGCCCAACAATGTTCTATGGATTTCACAAAAAAACTGTGTTAAGCTCATATATTTCATGATATGTATAACTTTTACCAATTATATATTTAACGTTGTTAATTAAAGAAAATCCGATAAAAGTGAAACGAATATGCATTCGCAAGTTCGAAATAATCCATTGATTGCAGAATATTTTTCTTGTTCTTTTGGATTATATGAAATTCATATTCTAAATGGTAAATCTTTGAATAGTAAATAAATCCTTAGATAAAAGTGCATTACACTAGTGCACCGAAGGGATGACCAAACATCATGTCCCATGGAACCTCTTTTTAGAATTCAGGAATATCCACGAAAAGAATATTAAAGAATTTACTCGTAATATTTTTCGAGAATTTTATTCTTCGGTTGTTTCTCATTCTTTTTTTCATCAATATATTATATATTTAGTTCTTTTCTTATTATTTAGTAGATTCTTCTCGAAGGTATCTTTCCATATTTACAACTTAAATTACGGTTCTGTTGTCTCATTTTCACACTCGCAGCTGAAAAAGAAGCTGCTATCAAATCTTCAAAATTAGTATATTCCACCAATTTCCCTTTTAACCCAAAAGGTATGGGATATTAGCTACGAAACGGCATTTTAGTCGAAACACTTAAATACATTATAGCACTTTTCAGATTGTTGCCACCAAATGTTATCGCCCTGAATTATATTTAAAGAAATTAAATAATGAAGAATATGCATGAATGCATGTATGTTTCTTGCAATGTGAAAAAACAACGGTACCTAGAGCCATCAGATTTTGAATAACGTAATCCTCCACCTGAATATGGGCACCTGGAAGCCCGAATTTTGAATTTCGATTTTTTTTTTATTGTGTATTTCATATTTTGTAAAACTTTAACGTCTTTTGATTAACAAACTGAACAATTTCAAAACGAGCAATGGCAACACTGTACAGATTTTTATTCTCAGCATGCGAGACTGTCTATCGGAAATTCTAAAGATATGTCGTATTGAAATATCGGGTGATTTTTCTGTGACGTAAGTGTGAAAATCGTGATATTTAATAAACAAAGTTAACACTAAAACTTTAGTAACAAAAAGACAAAATCATTTCTGCTAGCCATCTTACTAAGAAAACTGGATACTGATATGATTAACTGAGAAAAGAGTGAAAATAACATTAAGTAAAAATTTTGTGATTTTGTTGTTGAA